CCTCTATTTCCCTGCAATACATGCTCTGGATGTCCTTCAACCAGGGAGTACAGGAGGGGAATTAGCTCACACTCAGCCTGACTGTGGGACCCCTCAGGCCTGAGGCTCCTCCCTTGTTCGTGGAAGTGGACTCCTAGTTCTACTAGTGAAAGCCTTCATATTCCATTTGTTGGAGACTTGAACTCATATCCCAGGCTTCCTGCCAGTTGCCCTCAGATTTAATTATCCTGCCTTGTTGCTTCCTGCAGCTCTCTGAGGCTTTCCTGCCTCTCCAGGGCTCAGACAGTATTTATTGCTGTTCCCATCACTGAGGATACCCAGGTCTGTAAGACAACTCACATCTCTCCAACCTCCCTCCCGTCTTCAGGAGTCCCAGTCCAGATTGTCCTGCTACATACTTCATACAGTCTAGGCAGCTCTTCCAAACTCCTTTGAGAAAGAAGCAAGCTCCCTACAACTCCTCCCTAGACTATCTAATCTGGTTCTCTTCTAGGTCCCCGCGTCTCAGCCAGGTCCAGGACTAGGTGGTTCCTGTTGCTGACTCTCATCAAGAACCCTAGGCTCATTATGCTCAGAAAATCAAAACCTGGGCATGGCTCCCCGGAGTTGACCCACATTCTGCTGACATGCTCGGAATGTTGACACTAGCCCAGCATCTGCTCTGCGGCCAGATCAGGCTGTCTGCCCTTGAGAGAAGGCTCTGTCTAACCAGTAGCTATCCTGCAATGAGTTAGAATGGCACAAGTATTGTCTGTGCAGATGGCAGACAGCATTGGCCTCTTGTGGGATGACCACCTGAGTTGAGGGATGAAGTCACAGAACTGTTTCATGGCCTTGGCAAAAAAAGAAAAAAGTTAAAGAAAGGTCTATTGAACAAACTTTGCCCATTAATGATGTCCATTCTCCACTGTAGGTAGACAGCCTTAGGGAACTTCTTGTCAGGAAGCACTCAGCTTCCCTACAAGGCAGAGAACTTTGTGTCACTGACAAAGGTGGTAAACTGTCTACATCAGAAGAGTTTAGCCATCAGATCCTATTTTTCTCTGGAACAGAATGTGACCTTCATTCTGACAGAGTCTTCAATTGCTTCCTTTTTCCCAGGCTTTATGGTGGGTGGTAAAGAAGAAAATACAAGATTCTGGCCCCCAATCTGATAGGTGAGCATGCATACAATATGGCCCCTGGGATGAGAACTAGATCAGAGATGACTTTGGCCTTGGTCACAAAGAAATTCATAGGTCATCACTGACAAGGCTGGACTAATCACCTGGGAAAGCCACCTGTCCAAGGAGGCAGAGACAGAATAGACAGGCCTACTATGTAAGATGCTACAAGAGCAAAGTTGTATGAGCAGGTGGGCCCCAGTGTGTTTGAGAAGGGCAAGCTATCTTTCATGTGGAAGTACAGGGTGTTGGGGGCTGGTTAGGGCCATGCCAACAAGATCTAAATGCCAGACTCAGAGAGGCTTGAACAGTTATCCTTAGAGTTCAGTACTTAGACAAAATTTTCATTCTCAAGTATAAGGTCTTTGATGGCCCAGAGCCTATACAAAGTCTGATCATTTCAAGTCCCTAATGAAACCTGTGCAAGTGCCATGAGAACCCCACTGGCAGGGCAGAGGGAATCCCCGTCCGCCTCATGAATATCTGAATGATTGTCATTCAGTTGTCATTATTGTAAACCCAGTACTGTTGCTAGGTGTGTTTGCCAGGGCTGGCTCTTTTAACTTAATCTTCACAACTAAACTTTGTCATTCCGTTTTTAGAAACTTAGAAAGCCAGGGTTCAGCATCAGAATCCCCATACCACCACTTTATAGCTGTGTGACGTTGGTCACATTATTTCACCTCTCTCTGTTCACTTTCCTTATTTATAAAAGAGGCTAATACCTCCTAACACCCAAAATTGTTTCAAGGAGAAAATTGAGTTAGCACACATAAACACTCATAAGCTAGTGCCTGATGTATCTTAGCTTCTCAATAAATATAAGTTATTATTATTTGTCATGTAATACCTTGTGACATCTGATATTATTTACTCACTTTCTCATGAAGTTATCTCCATGAAGAAAGGGGCTTTCTCAGGTTTAGCACACTACCACCAACTACAACCTGTAATCTAGTAGAATCTAGGAATAAATTAAAGGAGGAAGCCAAGATGAATAAATATTTCAGCAAATAATTCACTAACCAAAATTAGTCTTGACATCATAGTTTAAATAAATAATGAATGGATACCTAAAGGGAAGTCCACAGTGAACTAGGAAAAGTTCATATGCCAAAAGTCAAGGGAGTCAATAACTGTGATTTAAGCCACTGAGTATAGTAACACAAACTCATACAAAGTTCTGTGGGAACTTAGAAAAGGAAACTACTAAATCTGCTTATGTAAAGAGCAAAGTTGTACGAGCTGTCAGGCCCCAAAAATTACATATGAGCTGGACTCTGCAGGAGTGACAGAAGGCATTTATTAGACATGTTACACCAGAGGCAAGGCATACCTTCCAGCTCTGAATTTCTGTTTGGAGTTTGAGATCATTCCAGATGAGGATGCTCAACACACACGCACACACACACACACACACACACACACACACAGAGCCCTCATTTTTGCTTATTGCTTCCTCAGGAAACTAAATGAGGTAGATATAGACTGTATTAAGAAACAAATAATATTTTTGTAAAAGAATTATTTATTATTATTATTTATTATTTGGAGAGGTTTTTGTTATAGGGTGCATGCACTCTCCAGGGACACAGAGAGAGACAGAGACAGAAAGTGAGAAATCATCTCCCAGAGGGGATGACCATGCCACCATCCCTTCTCCTCCATTCTCCTCTCAGGATTTTGGGCACATATGCACATACACCCAGTGTGAGTGTTTAAGCTGCTGGGTCTGGGACTCGAACCATGATTGACTATGTGGGACTCCTACCGAGTCCAGCGACATAACCGTTACACCATCTGCTTGTCCCTATTTTATCATTATCATTATTATTATTTCCACATTAGTTCACCAGAGAAAGACAAAGAGAGAGAGAGAGAAAGCAAGCCATCAGGTCCAGTACTCAAACCTCAGTTAGCCATGTGGGAAGTTCTATACCTCAACCACCATGCCACCTGCCCGCCCCCGAGAAACATATTTTAAAGAACTTGCTGACAATCTTAGGTAATAGAGCTTCAGGAATATCTGTTATATTGCACTATCCTCCCATGCCACCCTCTTTCAGGTTGAGACAAGATATTAAGAGTATATATCAAGATACTGGATAGCCTTCCAGATTACAGTGACTATAAGGTTCTTATTGGACACTCTCAGAGGAACCAATATATACACCATAGAGTCCTAGTAAGGAAAGAGAGAGAAAAAATAGGAAGAAAAGTATCTATAGGAATAATGGAAGTTTCCTAAATTGGATGAAAGACATGTATCTACATATCCAAGAAACATGATGAACTCCAAGCAAGATAAACTCAATGAGATCCATACTAAAACACGTTACAGTCAAGTTGTTTAAAATCAAAGATGGAGAGAAAATCTGGAAAGCTGCAAAGTAAAGACACACATCATGAAAAAAAGTATCCTCAATAAGATTAACAGTGGATATTTTATCAGAAACCACAGAGGACAGAATAATCTGATGATATGTTAAACTGCTGAAAGGAAAAACTATTCATAAAAAAATTTATATCTGAAAAGTCTTATCCTCCAAGAGAAGAAGAAATTGAGGTATCCTCAGATAAACAAAAGTCAAGGGAGCTTGTCACTAGTAGACCTATATACAAAAAATGTTAGTGTATCTTTTATTTATCTATTTAAAATTTGACAGAGGGTAGGGGTCAGCAGATGGTGCAGCAGTTACATCACTGGTCTTCCATATAGCAAACCACGGTTCAAGTACCAGATCTGGTGGCTTGAAACTCAAATCAGGTGTGTGTGTGTGTGTGTGTGTGTGTGCATGCCCAAGATCCCAGGAAGAGAATGGAGGAGAAGGGATTACAGTGTGGCCATTCCCCCGGGGGTGATTTCTTTCTTTTTGTCTCTCTGTCTCTCTGGGGAGTGCACATAACCTATAGCAAAAAGCTCTCTAACAATAAATAAATAAATAATATGAATGGTAAATAAAAAGTCAACTCCATTAGCTTTTATACCACACCCATTATTTTTCTTTCCATGGTTTCAGTTGTTCACAGTCAACTGTGGTCTCAAAATATTAAATGTAAAGTTCCAGAAATAAACAATTTGTACCTTTTAAATTCTCCACTATTCTGAGTAGTGTGATGAAATCTTGTGTCATACCACCTTGTCCTGCTTGGGACATGAATCACCTCTTTATCCAGTGTATCTACACTATATATACTACCCACCCATTAGAAACGTACCAGCTATCAAATTGAAAATGCATAGTCTATATAGGATTCGATACTTCTGCAGTTTCAGGCATCCATTGGGGGTCTTTGAGCATATCCCCTGTGAATAAGGTCCCCTGTGGGTAAGGGGGGCATTATGGTAACCATATGATGAAAATTGACAAACTGGGCTTTTTTAAAATTAAGAACTTCACTTCACCAAAACACACCTTCGAGAGAGTAAAGAGGCAAGAACAGGATGGTAATAAATATTTGCAATATACGTATATGAAAAACTTCATATTTAAGGTATGTAACTAACTTCCATAAATTAATAAGAAAAAGGACAGACAATCCACCAGAAAAATTGGGCCAAGGGTTTGACTATGTATTTTACCAAAAAATATTTCCAAATGATCAAGAAATACATCACAAGGTGTTCTACATTACTACTCATCAAGAAAATATAAATTAAAACTACAATGTAATACAACCACATAAAGGCTCAAATTAAAACCAGTGGCAATGTTGAATGCTGGTAAGAATGTAGTGCAACTGGAACTCTCATACTGTTGTTATAGCCACTCTCAGGAGTTATTCGGTAGTATTGTGGGGCCAGCAGATGGCATAGCAGTTTCATCACTGGACTCCCACATGGCTGACCACAGTTCAAGTCCTCGACACACTGTCTTGAAACTCACGCTAAACGTGTGTGTGTGTGTGTGTGTGTGTGTGTGTGTGTGTGTGTGTGTATGTCCAAGATTCCAGGAGGAGAAGGGAGAAGGGATTATGGCATGGTCATCCTCCCTGGGGGTGATTTCTCACTTTGCCTCTCACTCTCTCCAGTACATGTCCTAAGGCAAAAAATGTGTCCTGACTTTTCCAATGACCCAATATACACCCAATAGAAATACCTACTTATGTTCCATGCAAAAGAATACTCAGAACAGCATTATTGGTATATCCCCCAACTGAAAAACCCCAAATGTGCATCAATAATAGGAAAGATGAATTAAATGGGTTATATCTTTTTTTAATAATGGGATAATATACAGAAATAAACTAAAGCCACATTAAAAAATATGTGTGAAACTTACAAACATAATCTAAGAAGCCCAACATAAAAGAGTTCATTTTGTATGATTCCATTTAAATAAAAAAATTTTAAAGAATTACTTATTTGTTGAATTCAATTTTTGGTTTTGTTTTGTTTTGTTTTTCACTTGACCAGAGAGAGACAGACATAGAAATGGAAAGCAAGAAAGCAAGCTGCCAGGTCCAGGACTTGAATTGCTGTCAGCCATGTGGAAGTCCAGTGCCCCAACCACCATGCTACCTGCTGGCCCTGTTTAAATAAAATTGAAAAGCAGAATTAATTCAGAAGTTAGAGTATTTATTCTTAAGGAAGAGAGATAAATGATTTGTGTTGAGTACGTAGGGGGATTTTGGAGAGTTGGCAGTGGTCTATTTCTTGTGGGTACTGGTTATTGAGTGTGTTCCCTTCAGAGAATTCATTGAGCTATGCACGTATAATTTCTATATTTCAGGTATGCATGCTATCCTCAACACAAAAATCCCATCAGTTGTATGAAGTACTTTTTTCCTGGTTTGTCACAAGGCCAGATGGCACAGTGGTTGGTTTAAGACTCTGGAATTACATGGTCCTGAATCTTTCTTCCTATCTCAGAGCTTGACCAAGATACTAACTCTGAGCTTCAATTTCCTCACCTATAAAATGGATTCATTAGGGTACCTCTATCATGTTATCAAAGGGGTTAGATCTTCTCAAATACAAATTCTGTGTTTGTCCCAAACTTACACACCAAGACCCAGAGAGTAGAGAGTAAAGGGAACTAAATTCTCAGTAATGGGATTATGAGTATTTTTTTTCCCCGTTGAGTTTTACTCTATTTTTTAACTTACTGCAATAAGTGTGTTGTTTAATCAGAATAAAACAAAATCTATGATATATCCATACTATATATTTATAAAATTAAATAGGAAAGAAGAAAAAAGGAAGGAAAGCAGGCAGACAAAAGTTATAGGTGAGCCAGGAACTAGAACCCAGAAAGCATCTGGCTGGGGAAAACCATGCTTCTGATGTGCAAGGCCCAAGCCAGTAGGCCTCCTTAGACAGAAAAGAGCTATCAGAGACTACAATTAATTCCTGGGCATTTCTTAGTTTTTATTGTGCTCTTCACCCCTGCCTTCAGAGACCTATACTTTTTCTTTTTCCAGCTAAAACAAATCTAGTCTTCATTATAACATGTCATGTTGTTGATAAAACCTAGGTCCAAAGAATGACAATAAAAGGACTTTCTATCCACTATCTCTTATTTCTGATGCTGGTTTGCATAGAACTATTACTGGTGCTAGGAAGCTGAGCATTTATTTATTTTTTTAATATTTAGTTATGTAATTAATTCCATTGGTTATTTTTAAAGATTTATTTATTTCCATTTGTTATTATTTTTTAATTTGACCAAACAGAGACAGAGAAAGAGAAAGTGAGAAAGCTGCTAGGTCCAAGACTCAAACCACAGTTGACCATGTGGGAATCCAGCACCCCTAACTACCACACCACCTGCTGGCCCCCAAAGCTGAGCATTTATGAGGTCTCTCAATAGAGATCTCAGAGAATCCCTTCTCCCCCATTCTTTTGGGATTTGGGTTCACACATGCCCATGGTTTTCAAGCTGCCAGAGTGGAATTCTCACTGCTTGGACCATGTGGGATCCAACTCCCTTAACCATTGGGATATAGACTGGCCCTGTGCATCTCTTTTAAGATCTCATTTTGTTTGCTGTGCCTTGGAGGGATATATCCCACAGGTAGAGGAAAGCCTAGGCCACTTTTGGTGCCAGCCACAAGCATTTCCAGCTCTGGCCAAGCAAACCTTGTGTCTTGAATTCTGAGTTCATCAGCCTCATTAAACTAAGAAAGAGATGGTCTCTTTCAGAATCCTTCAGCTTCTTGCAGGCAAGCGCTAACTACCCTGTGCCACCTCCAGCAGACCTTGGTAACAAAGGCAAGGAGATGGGATGGGTTTTCTAGGTGATGCCGCTTGTCCTAGCTCTTACTAGTTTTCGGAAAGTTTACTGTGCTGCTCTGGGTGCCCCTGACCGCCCTGAGGAACTCCCTGTACAGAAGAGAAAGGGGCATTGAAGGAAGCAGGCTAGGGAGAGTTTCTACTCCAAGCAGGGCTCCGGATGTTAAGGGCAACTCCTCCTCCCCAGTAAGGGAGGAGTGGGCGGGGCCAGCGCGCCCCCCTCCCCTCCGTGTTGCCCTGGAGACCAGGGGTGTCCAGGCGCAGTTGCTGGTGTCCTGCCCAGGCTGACTCCAGTGTTTTCGGCAAGTGCAGGAGCTGCCTCCCTCCAATCCGCTGGGCTCAGGGGGACGTCCAGGGGCTGGCCGGGCTGCTTCAGGGGCTAGAATGGGGGACGGGAGGAGCCAGTAGGTGCCTGATTAGCGTGGCCAGAATCAAGCTGCTCCATCCCTCCACTTCGTCCTCCCTGTGTCCCCTGGAGTGTCCTGGACCCGAATTCAGGATGCAGGGATTCCAATCTGAAACCTCGGGGGCGTTGATGTTTTCCAGAGGAGTTCAGTAGAGGACGAACAATCATCGTGTATTATTTGCCACCCCAAATTCCTCTTCGGATTTGCGCCCTTCGTGCTGTGGACAGTCAGGACAGTCAACCTCCTCTGTGAGTTCAGGGCTCGTTTGAGGTTCGTTTCCTTGTTTCTTGCCTCCTCCTTCGTTTTGCTTAAAATAAAAATTGTGAGCTGACGTGGGGAGCCCATTACCCCAGAGCAGGAAGTCCGGTCCCCGGGGGGTCTCTTGGGTGGGTGCCACTTGCTGCGGCGGACGTCCCAGGACCTGTTCTCGGGGTCTGCGTGGGTTTCGCAACCTTGCGGTCGGAATTGAGACCAAACTCCAGAAGCTTTTCCTGGACCACGGCTTCCCCGCAGTGCCGTCCAGCCCTCCGCCAAGATGTCGTCCACCGGGAAGGTGAGCCAGGTCCAGACCGGCAAAGTCTACCAACAGATCTTCCAGGCTCAGGTAGGGCCCTCCCTCTGTCCGCCTTTTATCCGCCCCTCTTCTCTCTACCTCCCCCAGACTTGCCTCCCTCCGAAGGCTTTCCTGCCCGGCAATACAATGAAGTCAGGGCTTTGAAGTTACTTAGAACTTTTGAGGTTTTTTTTTTTTTTTTTAAAATGAGAGAAAGACACACACACACACACACCAAGAGTTTTTATTTATTTAAATATTTTTATGAGAGAGAAAGAAGCACACCCTCCATAGGGCCCTGTGCTGCCACTCCCCCTCCAAGCCCTCCTGGCCAGGATCCCGGGCTGCCCTGTGTGTACAGGTCGTCAGGGGAACCACGTGGATTTTCCTTGTGGATCTAGCTTGCCTTGGGGAATGCATTTCCTCTGTGCCAGTATTACCAGCCCCTGAGCCTGTGCAGGCTTTGAAATGACTTTAATTTTATAGATCATTTTTGCTTCTTAAAATATACTAATATGAAATGGAAAGATCTATTCTTGAAAGTTAGAAAATAAATGTAAAAATTTAAACAACTCAGAAATAGCCTGGATTAACCCCATTCCATGGCCTGGGTCTTCTTACCCTACATAAAAGCAGTTCTGATTTTCTGTTTTAAAACTGAGTTTCCTTCTGGGCTAGTGTTTTAAAACAAGCCTTTTCTCCTTAACAGTCTCTGACAGACACTTTCCCATGTCCATGGGACTTCCCCTTTCCCCCAGTATCGGTGACTGCCTGCTTATTGATCTAGGACCTCCCAGTCAGCCTGAAAGCCTCTGGACCATGTAGTCCAATGAAATTGCCTCATTCTCCCTAAAGCACTGCAGACAAAATGAGATCTCGAAAGAAGTGCACAGGGACACTCACTAGCCTAGTGGTTAAGGGAGCCAGATTCCACATGGCCTATACAGCACAAACCCCAACTGGCAGCTTGAAAAACAAGCCGGCATGCATGCCTGTGTGGCCCAAGTCCTAGCAGAATGCAGGAGAAAGAATGTGGCATGACCGTGCTCTTCTGGGGAATTGGAGATGGCCAGCTCTCTCTGGCTAGAACACCTACTTTCTGGTAATTACTAAAGAAAGAGAGGAACTAGCAGATGGTTACGTCTCTGGCCTCCCACATGGCTGACTACTGGACCCAGCAGCTTGAAACTCACAGAGTTCATGTGATTATGTTCCCAAGATCCTCGGAGGAGAATGGAGGAGAAGGGACTGCAGCATGGCCATCCTCTATGGGGGTGATTTCTCACTTTCTTTTCTCTGTCTCACTGGTGAGCACGTATACCCTATAGCAAAAATCTCTCTAATTAAAAAAAGAAAAAAAGGAAGGAAGAAAGAAAGAAAGGAAGAAAGAAAGAAAGGAAAGAGAGAGCAGCAGCTGTCGTAATGGCTATGTTACTGGACTCCCATGTAGTAGACCGCAGTTCGAGTCCTGTGGCTTAAACTCACACCGGGCTTGTGTGCATGTGTGTCTAAGATCCCGAGAGAAGAATGGAGGAGAAGAGATTGCGGCGTGGCCATTCCCCCCCCCCCGGGGGGGGGATTTCTCGCTTTCTCTCTCTGTCTCTCTCTGTCTTTCTGGCCAACACAGAATATAGAAAAAAAAAAAAAAGAAAGGAAGAAAAAGAGAGAGAGAGAGCAACCCTCCTTTGAAGTTCCATACTGATTATTGGTTTATTGGTGAGGAATTTTCATTCCTAATTTGAGCCCTAAATAATGCTCTCTGTGGAACCTTTGAAAATTATAAAAGTATAAAGAAACCAAAGGAAAAATTAAATTACTCACATGATCCTGCTCCCCGAAAGCACCCATGCTGTTCTTAACATTTGTCATCCATCCTCCTGGTCATTCTGCTGTGCGTTTAGGATTGTGAGATCATACCGTGTCATTTTGGCTGTACTTTCAAATTTATGCTTTTAATTGATATATTTTCCTCATGTCATAAAAAAATTCTTCATAGGTCTCTTTAATAAATACCTAACATTCCATGGACTGGATATATGTTTTCTCAGGCGATCCCTGTTACTGGATAGTTTTGTGTTCCCAAATCCCTGTGATTATAAGAAAGGCTGAGATGTACATCTTGATCTTCATTTAAATTTTGTAAAAGATGCCTTCCCAGCAGTGGCTGAATGGCTGTATGGGGGAGGAGAGCCCTCCTGCACGGGTGTGCCCTGGGGTTGAAGGCCACCCTGAAAGGCCCTCCCGGGAGCAGGTCCCCACTGTTCCCTCTAAGACAGACACAGTTAGCCTCGGGTGCTGGAAGCCTGTGGCTCCATCTGCACCCCATCTTGGGTCTTCTGTGGGTTTAGGTGCAGCTGGTCCACTCCCTGGCGGCCTCCAGGAAGGGGGCTAGGGCATATTCTGCCACCCCAAAGGGTGGCAAGATGCCCCTGATGAAGACGACGGAGATTCCTGTGGGAGAGATGATGTCTCTTCGGCAGCAGAAGTGGGTACACAGCCTCCCCAATGACTGGACCACGGAAAACCCTGTTCTCTACAAGTAGGTCCTGCTCTCCAGGCCATACCCCTCACACTGGGGTAACTCAGTCTCGAAAAACTCAGAAGAGCTCACAAGATGAGGGCCAGACGGGAATACAGTCCCTGAGGCACAGGGAGACGTTGGGAGACCTCAGGTCTGGATGAAAACAGCCAACCGAGAGGCGGTTTAGGACCCTCATGAGAGCCAGAGCACCAGCCAGGCTGCCATACCGCCCTCCTGGGAGGTGGGTGCAGCTTGGACAGGCCCCAGCTGGGATGTCAGAGAGTGGAACATGTGCTGGAGCTGGCTGACCTTGACAACACTGACCTTAGTCTGCACCCAGATGGAGCAGTGGACTTGCCCTTCTGTGAGCAGTCCAGGCTGCTGGGAGTCAGAAACCTCCAGGTCAGGCAGGCCAAGGCAGAGACATATATTCAGCATGCTCCCTCCAGGGACTCCCCCTTGTATCTCAGCTGCCTCAGATGGGGTCTGAAGGGCCTGGCCCTTACTATTCTCCTCTTGTACCTCAGGGAAAAGGAAACAGCCAAGAGGGAAAAATCCCAAGAGAGCGAGAGCACCATCGCTGCCCGAGAAGTGCGAGGCCTCACAGACACCATCGGTGAGCCTCCCTTCAGCAGGGACCAGGCTGCCCTGGGGAAGAGGGAGCGCTGGCTCTGTGTGTGTGTGTGTGTGTGTGTGTGTGTGTGTGTGTGTGTGTGGTGAGGGGGTGGTAGGGAGTGGTCTCCTGTAGTGCCTCTGCCAAAGCCCCTGTTCCTCTGCCTGGCCACCTGGCAAGCATGCTCACCTGAGCATCTCCCCTGAGCGTGCTCCCCTGCAGGGCCTGTGGGAAGGGGCAAGGGGCTGACCACAGCCAGCGCTTACTGGTGGGAAAGCAGGGGCTAAGGGACGCCGCAGCGCTGTCTCAGTCCACGAGTTCTTGCTTCATACCGCATGTCCTGACTTGACTTTATCCCAGTGTGGAGGCCTTCTTCTTTATGCTCACCATAGACAAAGGTAGCAGATAAAGCAGAAAAGAAGAACTTCCCCCTCTACAGTAGCACCCCTTCTCCTCCTAAAACAGTGCCAGTCCTCTCATGAGTCCATTGGTACCCGCTTTCCACACAGATACAGGGGCCAGTAGAGGAGGGCCTGGAGGAGCGCAGACCCTGGAGAGGGGGCCCAGGTTCCAATCCCTGTCAGCCACTAAGAAACTTTGTCCTTTAACCCTTATACCAGCCCCCGGGTGCGGGAAGCCTGTGGCTCCATCTGCACCCCATCTTGGGTCTTCTGTGGGTTTAGGTGCAGCTGGTCCACTCCCTGGCGGCCTCCAGGAAGGGGGCTAGGGCATATTCTGCCACCCCAAAGGGTGGCAAGATGCCCCTGATGAAGACGACGGAGATTCCTGTGGGAGAGATGATGTCTCTTCGGCAGCAGAAGTGGGTACACAGCCTCCCCAATGACTGGACCACGGAAAACCCTGTTCTCTACAAGTAGGTCCTGCTCTCCAGGCCATACCCCTCACACTGGGGTAACTCAGTCTCGAAAAACTCAGAAGAGCTCACAAGATGAGGGCCAGACGGGAATACAGTCCCTGAGGCACAGGGAGACGTTGGGAGACCTCAGGTCTGGATGAAAACAGCCAACCGAGAGGCGGTTTAGGACCCTCATGAGAGCCAGAGCACCAGCCAGGCTGCCATACCGCCCTCCTGGGAGGTGGGTGCAGCTTGGACAGGCCCCAGCTGGGATGTCAGAGAGTGGAACATGTGCTGGAGCTGGCTGACCTTGACAACACTGACCTTAGTCTGCACCCAGATGGAGCAGTGGACTTGCCCTTCTGTGAGCAGTCCAGGCTGCTGGGAGTCAGAAACCTCCAGGTCAGGCAGGCCAAGGCAGAGACATATATTCAGCATGCTCCCTCCAGGGACTCCCCCTTGTATCTCAGCTGCCTCAGATGGGGTCTGAAGGGCCTGGCCCTTACTATTCTCCTCTTGTACCTCAGGGAAAAGGAAACAGCCAAGAGGGAAAAATCCCAAGAGAGCGAGAGCACCATCGCTGCCCGAGAAGTGCGAGGCCTCACAGACACCATCGGTGAGCCTCCCTTCAGCAGGGACCAGGCTGCCCTGGGGAAGAGGGAGCCCTGGCTCTGTGTGTGTGTGTGTGTGTGTGTGTGTGTGTGTGTGTGTGTGGTGAGGGGGTGGTAGGGAGTGGTCTCCTGTAGTGCCTCTGCCAAAGCCCCTGTTCCTCTGCCTGGCCACCTGGCAAGCATGCTCACCTGAGCATCTCCCCTGAGCGTGCTCCCCTGCAGGGCCTGTGGGAAGGGGCAAGGGGCTGACCACAGCCAGCGCTTACTGGTGGGAAAGCAGGGGCTAAGGGACGCCGCAGCGCTGTCTCAGTCCACGAGTTCTTGCTTCATACCGCATGTCCTGACTTGACTTTATCCCAGTGTGGAGGCCTTCTTCTTTATGCTCACCATAGACAAAGGTAGCAGATAAAGCAGAAAAGAAGAACTTCCCCCTCTACAGTAGCACCCCTTCTCCTCCTAAAACAGTGCCAGTCCTCTCATGAGTCCATTGGTACCCGCTTTCCACACAGATACAGGGGCCAGTAGAGGAGGGCCTGGAGGAGCGCAGACCCTGGAGAGGGGGCCCAGGTTCCAATCCCTGTCAGCCACTAAGAAACTTTGTCCTTTAACCCTTATACCAGGGGTTCCTCACTTGTAAAATGAGGCTCATAGAACCTGCCTCATGACCTGGTCATGAGGACTAACCGAATTAGAACAATACTGGGGACCAGCAGATGGCATAATGGTTACCTTGCTGGACTCCCATGTAGTTGACCATGGTTCAAGTCCAGGACCTGGGGACTTAAAATTCACACCGGGTGCTTGTGCATGCATGTCCAAAATCCCTGAAGGAGAATGGAGGAAAAGCGATTGTGGCTTAACCGTCCTCCCTGGGGGATGATTTCTCACTTTCTGTCTCTCTGTCTCTACAGCGAGAGCAAGCACCCTAGAGCAAAAAAATCTCTCTTAAAAAAAAGAACAAAAGTGACAATTCTGTAAACGTGGTATTATTATTTCTACATGTATTTGCTTCCATAAAACTTAAAAAAAAAAAATGAGGGACCAGCAGTTAGCGTAATGGTTATGTTGCTGGACTCCGACGTAGTCGACTGTGGTTCAAGTCCCGGACCCAGTGGCTTAAACTCACGCCGGGCGCGTGTGCGTGCGTGCCCAAGATCCCGAGAGGAGAGTGGAGGAGAAGGGATTGTGGCGTGGCCATCCCCTCTGAGGGGTGAGGTCCCACTTTCTGTCTCTCTGTCTCTCTCTGTCTGTCTGGCGAGCGCACGCACCCTATAGCAAAAACCTCTCCGTAAAAAGAAAAAAAAAATGAATGATATCACTCCACACATAGAATTTGGGCTTTTTCCTCGGGGTATTATGGTTTGTCCGAGATCTCATCCCCTATCGCACTTGTGGGTCACTGTCCTCTTTTCCTGTTCTGCCTACTCCACTGCCACTGTGGACCTGGCTGGTGGCCTGGCTTTCTGAGCCCGAACCCGGATGCTTGGGCTGTGGAGAGCAGCCAATTTGAAAACATGTGATTAAAACATGTGGCCTGTAGACACATGCAGAAACATGCTTTTGTAAGTTACTTTAGCAGGGCTATCGAAAAGCATCTACATACGAAAGTAGTATTTGCCTGTCGTGAATCCTTGCCTTATTGTTGATACTCAATACCCTGATACTGCCCAGTATTCGGCTAAAGGAAGTCACATGCATTTATTAGATTGCCTCCAAAAAAAAGATTAGAAAAATTATATGGCGCCAGGCATTATTACATTTTTAGATGATTTATATTTAAAAACAACTGGCTTTGCATTCTGATTTCTACTCCCTTATTCTCTTTGCATTTTACTTCCTTCTTCCCCATTCCTTTTGCATTCCACTTTCCCCTTCCCCTATTTTTTGCCCTTTAAAAGAATAAACCCGAGGCTAGTTTTGGTTGCAAGTTCTCCATCAGAGAAGCTGTGCCCACCCAATCCTCGCTTTTCTATACTTGTGTGTCTTTGTGTGTCTGTTATTGCGTCTATTTCTAGTCCACAGCCTTCCCACTCAGAGCTGGTCCCAGCAGGGCTGGTGCTCTCTGCCTGTCCAGTCTTCTTCTGGGAGCTCCCCTCTCCTTAAAGCTCTGAGGGCAGCTCTCCTCTCTGTGGTTGCTCTGCAGTTCCCGAGAAGATCAGCACCCCCATCCGTCAAGGGAAAGAAGACCACAAGAGGAGGAACTATGAGAGCTCACTGGCCGCCTTTCAGGAGGAGATAGCGCGGATCGGGATGGTGAGAACCTTCTGCTTCCTCTCCTGTGCCATTCTGAAGGCAGGCTTGCCATTGCACCCAGCTCCCACGCCTCCCCAGCTGCCCAGCAGTGGCTCACCTAGACCTGATGTAGATGGAATCTTAGCGTGTTAAGTGGCTTCTGAGTGCTTATTGCAAACATGGCTCCCCTTAACTCTGGGGCAAGTCGTAGGAGTCAAGTACGGGAGCCTGTCCATATCTGTAGACTCAGCATCCCTGAATTCAGCCAACCACTATCAAAAATATCCCCCTCATCTCAAAGACCTTAATAATAAAAAATAACGATATATGGCAATTAAACATTAAAAATATAACAATAATATACATAATATTTGCATTATATTAGGTAGTATAAGTAATAATAGAGAGATGATTTAAAGTATAGGGACCAGGAGACCAGCAGGTGGTGTGGTGGTTAAGGCACTGGACTCCCACATGGCCAACTATGGTTTGAGTCCCAGACCTGGCAGTTTGTTTTCCCTCTTTCCCATTCTCTCTCTCTCTGGTCAAATAAAAAAAAAATGATGATAATAAATAAATTAGAAAAAAAGTATAGAGGCCAGCAGGTGGCATGGTGGTTAGAGTGCTGGACTCCCATATAGCAGACCATGGTTTGAGTCCCAGACCTGACGGCTACCTTCTCACTTTCCCTCTCCCTCTCTCTGGTCAAATTTAATAAGAATACATACAAACACACAATTTTTTAAAAAGTAAAGACTAGGGGAGGTTGTGCACAGGTTATATACAAATACCACAGCATTTTATATTAGGGTCTGTAGCATCTGCAGTTGCTGTATCTGTGGGGTTCCGGAACCAACGCCCCACAGTACCAAGATGTACGGCTATGATGTCGTTTTGTAGTGAGGCCCAGAGAGTATTATCTGACTTGGCACAGAAGGGGCCCACTAGGAACTGCACTCAAGGTCTGATCCCAAGCCCGGCCTGTGGCCTCCCTGCTCCATCCTGCTGATAGGGGCTGTATGGCATGACCCCCACCAGTGGCCCAGTGCTGCTGGCTCTAAGGCACATCCCTGCACTCAGATCCTGCTCTCCGGAGTCCTCATCTCTAGCCACAATGGTGCCAGGAATGTTCCCTAAGCGAGACCAGCCGGTAAGGGTCCTCTCGGCCCCGGATTTCTACTACTCCTCCCCTGTCTTCTGTGACTCATATGGCTCCACCCTGGATTCCTGGAGCTGGCTCTGTACCCGAAGCACCTAGACTGGGCTTCCCCAGCCACGTTCCTCAGTATATCCCAACTAGACACCAGCTCTACTTTCACCCATGTGCTCTGTGGCCTTGGTGAGCTGATCCACCTGAGCCTCAGCTTCCTCATTTGGAGTAAACTTGAAATTCCTTATTTGACCACTTATTTATTTATTTATTTTTTACTTTATTTACATTTAATCACACGTCTTTACAATATACATGTCTTTTTCCAACACAAATACCATGTATATCATTCAAGACAAAGATATTACTATATACATTATCATCAGCAAATAGCTTCTCAGTTTTTGTCAGTTAAGCACAGTTTTACCAGTTTTTTCCTTCCCCTTACCCCTCCCTCCCTTCCATACTAAAGTCCCCACCAACACACACACAGATTTTATTGATTCACAAAAGATCTTAAACTAAAAGTATAGACAAAACTAGAATCTAGTGACGAGTGCAGTGTAATTTTCTTCTGAAACATTTTTTTTCTCTGTTCATTCCCCTTTACTAAAGGGAGATATAAAACTAACTTATTTGTGAAAAAAAAATTAGGTTGATTTCAATTTGGTCTGTTATTTTCTCAAAGCCCCAGAAGAAGTCAATTTCTTTTCTTTTCTTCTTTTTTTTTTTTGGACAGCCACCTGAGGGTTGGCAGGTTTATTGGGCAGCAGTGGGAATCAGTGGTTGGACTTGGCCACGCGCAAAAAATATGCAACGCTTCATGAATTTGCATGTCCTCCTTGCACAGGGGCCATGCCAATCTTCTCTGTATTGTTCCAATTTTAGTATATGTGCTGCCAAAGCGAGCACAGAAGAAGTCAATTTCTGATGCAAGGCAACAGATACTATTGTAGTATTGAACTTATGCAAATAACCATTCTGCCACAAAATAAGAATGCTCACAAATATTTTCCAATTGCAAAGGGAAAGGAGAAAACTTCATGTTTCAATTAAAAACAAATTTTTTTAACAAAAAACTGCTAAACCTATCAATAATTCAAAAGAAAACAAAAGTCTTTAAATCCAGAAGACAAAGCATAGAAGACAATCAGTAATGTTTTAGACAAAAGTCATAGAATTCTATTTCACCAGTTCAGTCTTGTACAATCTCTCTTTTGTTAAATTTGCAGTGTTACTGTAGTCTGACTTTTCCGTTAACATTCAACATTATTATTGGTATTTTAGAACTTGTCCCTACCGTTAAACTGACCTTTTTCCTGGTCATTTTTTGTTCTCTTATTTGTCTGTCTGCAGTTTTCCTGGTATAGTACTTCCTTCAAAACTTCTTGGTGTTGATAAATTCTTTCAGGTTTTGTTTATCTGAGAATGTTTTGGGCTCTTCTTCTCATATGAAGGATAATCTTTTTTTTTTAAAAAATAATTATTTATTTAATTGTATTTATTCATTCATTTATTTTAATTTGACCAGAGAGAGACAGAAACAGAGAGAAAAAGAGAGAGAGAGAGAGAGAGAGAGAGAGAGAGAAAGTGAGAAAGCAAGCCACCAGGTCTGGGATTCAAACCATGGCTGGCCATATGAGAATCTCCAACATCTTAACCACCACACCACCTGCTGACCCTCCCATATGAAGGATAATCTTGCCAGATATAGTATTCTTGGTTTAAGTTGTCTTTCGCTTAACACTTTGGATATATTTTTCCATTCTTCCCTTGCTTGTATTGTTTCTGATGAGAGGTTTGATGTTAGCCTGATAGGCTATCATCCTTTGAAAGTAACTTGATGTTTTTCTCTAGCCAATTTTAGTATTTTCTCTCTGTCTGTGGCTTTGGTCAATCTGGCTATGATGTGCCTTGGAGAAGATCTTCTTGGGTTGATTCTGTGTGGAGTCCTTTGTATTTCTTGAGTCTAGATCTTTGAATGCCTCTCTAGGTTTGGAAAGTTTACTTCCAGGATTTCATAAAATAGATTATCAATGGCCTGATTAGTTTCCTCACCTTCTGGGATACTGATTATCCAGATGTTTGGGCATCTAATGGTATCTAGTATTACTCATATATTATTCTCATTTTGGGGAATTATATTCTCAGTCCTTTTGGTGAATATTTCTACATCAGAGGTTCTGTCTTCCACATCTGAGATTCAACCTTCTGTGTGATCTAATCTGCTTTTAATACTTTCAAGGGAGGTTTTGATTTACTGTATTATAGCCTTCATTTCTAAGTTCTTCAGTTCTGTTTTATTCTTTTTTATGATGTGTATTTCCTCTTTCAGATCCTAAAAGAACTTCCTTACCTCCTAGAACTCATTGTCTCTTTTCTCCTGCATTTTCTGGAGTTCATTGTCTCTCTTCTCTCGCATCTCTGTTAGCTTTGTCACTATGAATATCCTAAATTCTTTATCTAACATTTCCACAAGTTCCACTGTACTGTCTATGGATGAGGAAGGGCTGTTCTTCCCCTTGGGGGAGAGATATTTTCTTGATTTCCCATATTTCTTGTGCCTTTGTGGTGGTTTCTGGTCATCTGATGTATTGTACGTTATTTTCTACCTTCTTGAAGTTAATTCTCAATGTTTGTGGTGTGCAGAAGGAGATGACCTACAGTATTTCTGCAGTTCTGTTTCCCTGATTCTCATCAAGCAACCTGCACTTTTGTCAATTGAATTGAATATTACAAAGTCCTCACAGTTTCAAGGGAATAGGTGCATCTGGGCTGAGCTGCGAGGTTCCAACTAAGAATTCGTAAGTGTGTGGGAGATAAGCCACGCTCACTATAGCTCCATTTTTCTCCCAGCTGCTCACTTTGCAGACTCTCTTTTCTGATTTTTAGTCATTCGGTGGTACGTTCACATTTAGCTAAGTCGTTAGAGATTTCTGCCAATGTAAGTGCATATGCTTCACTTTACTGCGAGGTACTCCTGTGCCTATTTCTCCTCTACTGCTGTGTTTTGCAATGCGGTATCCACAGAAAGGAATTTCAATTTAGATGTATAAAGATGAGTTTTTCCCTTTCTGTACCTGTTCAGTGGGTCTAAAAGTATTCAGATGTTTCTCTACTGTACACCTAGACCTGCCTGGACATTCAATGTGTGGAAGGTGAGAAGCAAGGTGAGAAAGCCAGGTTAAAAAAAAAAAAAAAAAAAGACAAAACAAAACAACAAAAAGGGGGGGGGAATTTTTAAGAAAAAGGCCAAAAAAATTGAGAACCACGAGGTGTGCTAGCACATCACATGAAAGGGGCAGGGACTTTCTGGTTAAAGGGGCAGGGCGAAGCCCACTTCAGATGCACATGGATTCTGAAATTAGCAAGAGAAAGGAGAGGTCAGAGACAAAAGATAGTACCTACAGATATATATATATATGAGAAAAATTTCAAGAGAAACAGAGAGGGAGAGAGAGAAAGAAAGAAGACAGAGAACACCCTACCTGACTTTTTACTGGGTATTGGGCAGGAAGGAGAGGTTTAAGGCAGAGGTTTTCCTGTTAAATGTGCAGGACTAGGCCTACTTCAGATGCACATGGATTCTGGCTTTTCACTGGGTATTGGGCCGGAAGGATTCCTGGTCGCTTCTTTAATCAGTGTTTGTTGAGTACTGATCATGGACCAGCCCTACTGCCCCATCACCTACTTCCCAGGCTATGATGAGAATCAAAGGAGTGGAGAAAGAAGGGAGCTCAGGGCAGAATGCCCTGCGTATAGTATGCCACTGTTACCTTCTCGTTGTGAGTTAACTCCTAGGTCCAGGTAATAACCTGAGGGGTTGTTTTTGAGATAGGATATGCCTGGCACTTCCAAATTTCAGGGAGGGCTCCCTCCTGCGAAGTGGCGAGAAGGGGTGGAGGTGATGCCATGACTGTTGTCCTCTTGGCCTACTGCAGGAAATGGAACCTCTCATCTTGGAGTCAGGGGGCCTATTTCTGAAAAAGTTGTCTGAGTCTAATGAAGATATTGACCGTCTCTTTGTAAAGGTGGAAAACAGCATCGACCTTGAGGACTACAGCAGCCAAGTAGGTTCCTTTCCTGGCTGGGCCTGATCCCCTAGGCCTTGCTCTGTCCCTCCCTCCAAGCCTGACCCAGTATCTCCGCATAGGCCCTGTTGGAGCTGTGGGATAAGGCGGTTGAGATATTCCAGCTCCAGAAGCAGGAGATTAAGGAGCTGGATGAAACACTGTCCTCGCTGGAATTCTCCAGAGCTGATAAAGTGAGTTGGTTGCTGGGCTCCTTGGTGATTGTCACTTGCCATGTTTATCAAGCATTCTCTGCTTCCACTTAGGTTGCCAGGAAATGAGAATCACTCACTATGGCACCTTCTTGTTTCTAGCTAAAAAGTGTGTTGAAGAAATATGTGGAAATTATAGAGAAAACGTCCTACCTCATGCAGCCCGATGTGCACAGGCTGATCAATAGAGAAGCCATGGTGAGTGGTTTTCCCATGTGGGTATCAGCCCACGGGGCCTGGTGTCTCAGGAATGGTGGGCTTCTCAGCTGTAACCTTTCCAGTAGCTCAGGTGGGCCATTTAGGTTGGGAATCAGACTCTTTGCAGCTGTAAGCATTCAACAGAAATCTTTAAAGTATGTTTCATACTCCCCCCCCCACCCCCCGCCTTGAACCAGGCACACCTAACACAGCGCCATTGTTTTCAGCACTGATGATTCTACTGAGCACCTTCTAGGTCGTGTCCAAGCTTTTATGATGTCTCATGAGATGTCTCATCATGTGATTTTGCTCATGATGTCTCCAAAGTCAGATGAGGTGCCACTCAAACATGGCTCCTAGAATTCCATCTACAGCTAGGTCTAGGTGAGCCACCAAGGGCTTCCAGCCAGGGAGCTGAGGAGGCAGGAGGAAGCTGGGTGCAGTGGCAAACCTGCCTTCAGAATGGCACAGGACAGGACAGGGAAGGTCCTCACCATCCTGATCTGTACTATTTCCTCCTGAAAGCTGTTAAGCCTGACCTCTCTGCTGCACAAAAGGACTTCTGTGTGGCTGTGGAGAGCAGCCAATTTAAAAATGTGTGATTAAAACATGTGGCCTGTAGACATATGCAGAAATGCATGTGACTGTTTTTAGCCTGATACTGGGCAGTATCAGGATATTGGGTATTAATAGCAATAGGAAGACAACCATTGACAGCAGGCAGATACTGCTTTCGTATGTAGATGCTTCTCAACAACCCTGCTAGAGTAGCTTACGTAAGCGCATTTCTGCACGTGTCTACAGGCCATGTGTTTTAATCACATGTTTTTACATTGGCTGCTCTCCACATGTGGCTGCTCAGGGGCACATTTTGCTTGCATGGATTTCCTGGTCCTCTATAAGGAGTTGAGCTTGCCAACTAATGGGCCTGGCAGCACAGCGGGCAGAAAAGAGTATAGTATCCAGAATCACAGATGGGTCAGGCCCAGGTCTGTGCCTTGGCATCCTGAACAAAGCACAGGTGGGAATGAGCACATGTCAGGACGCTCCTGACATGACGTAGGCCCTGGACCCGAAAAATCCTAAATATTAAGACATTTTAGAGGTTTTTGCCTTAAGGTGCAGGTGCTCACTGGAGACAAAGAAAGGAAAGACAGATACAGTGAGAGGGAAAGTGAGAAATCACCTCCTAGGGGGACCAGCAGTTAGCGTAATGGCTATGTCACTGGACTCCCATGTAGTTGACTGCGGTTCGAGTCCTGGACCCGGTGGCTTAAACTCACGCTGGGCACGTGTGCGTGCATGCCCAAGATCCCGAGAGGAGAATGGAGGAGAAGGGATTGCTGCACGACCAACCCCCCTGGGGGGTGATTTCTCACTTTTTGTCTCTCTGTCTCTCTGTCTTTCTGGTGAGCGCACGCACACTACAGCGAAAACCTCTCTGAAAAAAAAAAAGAAAGAAAGAAATCACTCATTAGGGAGTATGGCCATGCTGCAATCTTTTCTCCTTTATTCTCCTTCTCCTCCTGGGATCTTGGGCACACATGCATACGCACCCAGCATGAGTTTGAAGCCACTGGGTCTGGGACTTGAACTGTAGTCATTCATGTAGGAGTCTAGTGACATACCTGCTACACCATCTGCTGGTCCCAATCTTAAGACATTTTATCTGTTTAGGAGAGTCATAGTTTTCAGTGTCTGGGTTGTGTTCACTGTTCCCATTCCTATGTTTATTTCGCTCCATCTAACTAGCACTTACTACATCTCTATGTGCATTTATCTCAGTTGATTTCCCAAATTCCCTGTGCTGTATATTACATTATTCCTGCATTATGGCTTTGGCTCTGGAGGAGGAGGAAATACTTGCCAATGCCCCCCCCCCTGCTCCCCCAGCTAGGAAGTACAGCTGACATCCAACTACAGGCTCTACTGAAAAGTGTTAGCGCTTAGCGTAGCAAGTTCTCACCCCTGCCCAGGACACGCAGCCTAAGAGCTCTAAGGAGTGTGTGAAGACACTTGGGGGTGTCTGGGGGAATGGATAATACTACTCTCATTTAAGAGCAAGGGTGCTAAAGGATGTCTTCACTTCCATGCCAAGGGTTCTCTTGTGAGAAGCACTGGGAGACTGCGGCAGGATGCCCTCTGCGGGCCTCATGTGGTTACTGGATCTCATAGCAGTCACATGTGGCTAGTCCTTGGTGACATGAGTACTCTAATTTAGGAAGATTTGAAGAAAACTGTAAGCATGTCATAGTCCACTGCAGTATTTAACTCTGTTCATTTTCTTTAGCAAGTGATCCAATGGGGCTTTAGAATTGGGTAGAAGCCAATGTGGCCAGGGCCCATCGTTAAGCCTTCAAGGAAGACCTTTGTTCTTGTCCATGGCTGTTCAGCTCCAGGCAGTTTCCTCAAGTGCCCACCACCTCACTCAACTCCCACCACCCCTCTCTGAGCCTCCTTCTGACGCAAGAGATCCTTGCCTTGTCTACAGCCCTGCCCACCTGTGATCATAGATCATGAACCATGCCCTGCTGGGTAACCGGAGGGCCATCGCCCAGCTGTTCGTCAACCTGATGGAGGCTACCATGCAGCAGGAACTCGACTGCCGCCACCGCTGGCAGGTCCTGGTGGATGCCTGGAAAGCTTTGAAGCAGGAGGCCTTGCTGCAGAGTTTCAGGTCAGCTGCTGCCCCCCGTCCACAGTTTCACCCAGCCTACCAGGGGCCGCCCAGGCTAGGGGGGTCATGTTCCTCCTTTTCTGTTATTCCTTAAACATATTGTTGTATTTTGTAGACTTTCTTCTTTCTGTTTTTAAAGTTAGAAATAGCTAAAGATATGGAGAAGAAGTTAAAAGTGAAACATGAATCGCTTCCCACAGTGAGCACAGCTAATGTTTTGGCCCCTTTTATCCCAGGTTTTTTAAACCCACATGGCATATGTAGTTTTGTACCCTAGTTTCTCCACAAACACTATCTCCTAAGCTTCTCTGAGCTCAGTACAAATTGTTGGAAAACATTTGGCAGGTCATCTGTATAATTTTCACTCTATTTTACTCATAACCCAGTGGATACTGTCCATCAGGAGGATGGACACCTCTCCGGCAGATACTCCTACTTTCTAGGAGCCTTCCTAGGAGTTTCCCCAGGGGAGGGAGAAGAGAGGGCCCACTCCATGCTTCCTCTACCAAGTGGCACCCGTGGGGGATGAAGGAAGATCGTACCGATACCTGGCTATCCATGTAACCTTGACCAAGCCCTCGCACATGCGAGCCTGTGTCTTCCTATGCAAAACAGGCACCCTTATGAACCTGTGAGAGGGCTTCAGTGATGATCCAGCATGGTACTGAATGGAAAGTGCCTGTCTGGGCCTGGGAAGCCATTAGAAATGTCGGAAAACGACGACAGTGATTGCAATAGCCGACATCTACTGGGCATTTCCCATGACTCGGGCGTGGTGTTAAGGGCTTGCTTGCATCATCATCCTGAGCCCTCACAAGTACCAGAGAGGAAGGTGCTATCTAGCCCCATGTTGCAGAAGAGGAAACGGAGGCTCAGCGCAGGGGAGGGACTTGCCCAGGGTCGTAGAGCAGGCAGGTCCTCCACCTGATCTGAGCCTGCTGGTCCCATGCTGTGCATGCCAGAGCCTTACTAGCAGTCCTTCCTTCTGTTCTTCCTTCTCTTCCTCCCTCCCCTTCTCTCTCCTTCCTTTTCTATGAGTCTGGGAAGGGAGGCAGGGGTTGGGCATGGAGGAGCTGGTGTAAGGGAAGGGGTGCTGGGGCGCTGAGTATTCTCACCATGGATCTCCTCCCCTCTCAAACCCGCCCTGCCCCTCCTCTCCTCTCCCTGGTATCTGTCTCTGGCCACCCAGTGAGTTCATGACCAGTGAGAATGTCCAGTCTCCTCCGGCTGTGAAGGAGGAGGTGGAGGCCATGCTGAAGACCCAGAATATCCTGCAGCAAAAGCGGCTGGACCATCTCTATGCCATCTGGTATGGGGGAAGGGGTCGCTTGGAGGAGCACTTTGAGGGGTACTGGGGGAGAGGGCATGGACCTCACCCTTTCCCCAGAGGCACCCTTCAGACCAGGTCATCCTTGCTCTCTGGCTCTTGGGCTTGTGCCCAGTTGCGACCTGGAATATTCTAGTCTCACTGTCAAGAAAGAACCAGAGCCATTTGCTGCAGAAAGAGATGTCATGTGGCTGTGTAAAAGAGCATGGAAGAAAGCAAGAGCTGGTGAGGGATAAGGGGTGGGACCAAGCACGCAGGGCCAGGGGGCCAGGCAAAGAAGGCCTTTGGACCTTTTCCTGAGGGCAGTTGGGAGCAGAGTGGCTCCATCAGCTTGGCCATTGGGAAGCCTGGGTTGGAAGGGTCTGACACTGGAGGCCTGGAGGTCGATGAAGAGGCTGCTGTCATGAGACAGGGGAGAGGCTGTGGAAGCTTCCTCAGATGTGGGTCCACCCAGCTCCGATCCCATCATGAGATGGTTGGGTGCAGTGCCCACTGAGGTGGTGGGATGCCCAATGCCCAGGGAGTCTGTGGTGTCCAACCTCAGAGGCAGGACAGAGCCTCACAGCACTACTGGAGGCCTGGAGGTCGTGGAAGAGGCTGCTGTCATGAGACAGGGGAGAGGCTGTGGAAGCTTCCTCAGATGTGGGTCCACCCAGCTCCGATCCCATCATGAGATGGTTGGGTGCAGTGCCCACTGAGGTGGTGGGATGCCCAATGCCCAGGGAGTCTGTGGTGTCCAACCTCAGAGGCAGGACAGAGCCTCACAGCACTGCAAGATGGAGGTACTGTATGTGCTGGGAGGGTGCTCCCCCTCTTGCTGAGCACCTGGTCGGTCCCTCCCACCCTGGTAACCTGAGACCCAGGTTCTCCTCACCTCCTACCCCAGATCCTAAGTTCTTCTGGAGATAAAGCACTGAGGATCGCACATGGCCTGAGCTAGGTCTTCCCAAGGCAGGCACCTCCTGCTCCGTGTGCAGCATGTTTTATCCAAGTGTAAAATTTACAGGGTGGATGCAAATCTCAGGGCAAGAAGATTTGTGTTGTTTCCTATAAATTATTTCAAATTCTGAGCTCTTGCTCTTTAAGCTGGGAAAAACTCGGTCTTTCTTGGGCTTCCATTCCTTAAGCCAAGTTCAGGAGTCCCATGCAATGCCAGGGTTGGTGCTGGGATGTCTGGTCCTTGGTGACAGGTCCACGCAGTGTCACTAGGCTCCTGCTGCCTCTAGGAAGTTGGTGCAGGAATCTCGAGGAGGCTCGGAGCCTGAGTCTTCACACTCAGGTGTCCCTTTTCCCTCCATGGCCCTGTATCTTGCAGCAGCTCACATGGTGGTACTTGAAAGCAGAATCCAAGCTGCCACTGACAGGAACCTGCCAGTCCTGCTCTGTCTGCACTTCCTTCTTCCCCCTTTTTATTGGAGCGAGGGAGACACTTGGTCCCTCCTCTCCAGGGCTCTGCCCACTCCCCCAAACACCTTTCCATCACCAATGCAATAGGCTGTCTTAAGAGCACTCCTTTTGTTTGTTTCTTTGTTTCATTCATGATGGAGAGTAAGTGCATGCATGGGAGAGAGAGAGAGAGAGAGAGCGAGCGAGCGAGCCAGGGAGAGGAGTGGGGTCTCATCACACATGACCCTTTTTTTTCCCAGCCCTCCAGTGCACTAGAATCTTGGGCACACGTGTGCTGCTCATGCATGCTACACGTCTTCAAGCTGACCCAGGGATCTGAACCCCCAGTCAGCCATGTGGCTTCCAGTACTGCAGTTCCATTTGCTGTCTGAACAGTTTGCTGCCAGTGTCACCACGCTGGGCAATAAGCCACTAAGATTACTAGGCTGCTTTTTCTCTGCCCTGTCATTCCCCTCACAGCTATAAATGTGGGGTAGGCTGCCTGTCTGAATGGAGAAAAGAGGCAGGGCAAACACAGAACAAGGCATTCAGAGTTGCTTCTGGCCACAGCTGGGAAACACCGAGCAATGGCTGGAGCTAGACGACCTGTCGACCTGCTGGAGGAAGGCGGGGGCACCTCTGCCAGTCAGAGGCAGAATGGGCACCAGCAGAACTCAGCAGCTCCTTCACAGTGGAAGAACGTAGAGGGGTGAAGTGTGGACCTCTCTGGTGTCCACGAGTGGGTGCTGGAAACACAGGCTCGAGCTCACAAGCCTAAAGGTAAAGCTGGGAAGCCTTGGTCATAGAATTCCAGTGAACATCAGCAGGGAAGGCCTCGGTTTGGGGCTGGTTTGTGCAAGGAGCCTTGGGAGTGCCCAGAAAGCACCCTGTGAGTAACCTTCTCTGGCTCCCTGACCTGGTAGGCAGCCTGGGCCTTCTGACCCAGCCTTAGGAGCTGTCCCAGGGAACTGTCCCATAGGGCAGGTGGGGAGCCCTTCACCCTTTCCAAGTCAGCCACCACAGGCCCTTCCTATGGAAACTCCAGGGCCCCAGAAACCTGGCGAGGATCCTCACTGCTGCTCACACACCTGCCCTGATGGGAACATGTGGTGGTGAGAGGTGGGGGAGTCTAGGTAAGATTCCCCAGGGGCTTGAAATAGAGTTACTTAGGCTCAGTTTAGGTGGCACAGTCCATAGTATACTGGATTGCAGTGCTAGAAACTGTGGCTGAGCTTGGGTTCAGATCCCCATGTCGGCCTGAAAAACACACTGGGCATGTGGTGCCCAAGATCCTGAGGAGCTAAAGAGCTAGGGAAATGGGTTCTTCTTTTTTCTCTGTCTCTCTCTCTCTCTTTTGCATGCATATAAACATCTGAAAGAAAGAGAGAAGGAAGAAAGAAAGAGGGAGAGGAAGAAAAGAAAAGAGGGAGGGAAGGATGGAAGGAGGAAAGAAAGAAGGAAAGGAATGATCTAAGGTGCTGGGAGCCCAGCACTTTAACCACCATGCCACCTGCTGGCCCCTGTGTATGTAATTTAACAATAAGTTTTCAAACATAAAATTGATATTTTGAAGTCATGTTAGATCTACAGAGAAGTAACAAAGATGGCACACAGAATTTTTAACTCTTAACTCAGTTTCCCCTAATGTTACCAGCTCACATTGCCCCTGGATATTTGTCAAAACTAAGAAATTAATTTTGATGCATTCCTAGTAGCTGAACACCAGACTTCATTCAACCAGATTTCAATAGTTTTTCCACTGATGTCCTTTTTCTGTTCCAGGAAACCCCATTACATTTAGTGTAATGCTTAGAGTTGAAGTTACGCTGTCTATACACAGACCTACCTTTCGTTTTTACTGTTCCATCCTAAGTAGGGTGACCAGAGTCAGTATGCTCAAGACCATCCTTGATTATATGGCCTGTCTTGGTGCAGTCATTAATAGTATTCCCTTTTGCAATAAAAAATGTCCTGGTTTAGACAATAAATCACAGGTCTTCCTAGACATATGTGTCTTCAACATCATTAAATATCGCCCAAAACTTAGTGGCTTAAACCAAAACTCCTTTCTAGTTTTCCATAGTTCCACAGACCACCTGGGTGGTTCCTGTGGTCTGAGATGACTGGGCCAAGGCTGGATGGTCCAGGATGGCCTCACTCCCATTTTTGGACCCTCAGTTGGGTTGGCTGGGGACTCTCTACACAAGCTCTCTTAACCTCCAGGAAACCCACCCAGGCTCCTATATATGATGAGTGGAGGAAAACGTCCTCCCAGGAAGCCTACACGTAGCCTTTCTCAAAGGTTCATGGGTCATGTCTGCTAATGTTCCATTGGCCAGTTACATAGCCACACCCAGATTCCAGGTATGGCAAAATAGGCTCCACCTCCTAATGAGAGGAGCTAGTGAAACACCATTTTTCAATCTGCCACATTGTTTTTAATGACTTCAGAGAGGATTCACTGTACTTTATTTAGGCAGTTTCTTGTTGTTAGATATGACGTTTTAAAAATTATCATTGTGTGTATTTATGGTACTATTTATAAATACATATAGTACCACTGAGTGAACATTTTAATGCATAAACTTCATGTGCATCTAATAGTGTTACTGCAGGTTAGGGTCCTAGAAGTAGGCTTCCTTGGTCAAGTGATGTGAAGTTTTACCTTTTCCCACTGGGAAAATTCAGTTATTTTCTAAGTAACAATATTAAATGAGCTTTTAATATTAATATTAATATTAAACAAGCTTTGTATGAGGTATGTTTTTGGCATCAGGACATCCCCAGCAGGTCCCTCTGTTTCTTCAGTATTTAAATCGACAGTAACTCTGGAGCTCTGTTCTTTGAAGATGCCACACCCGTTCTGGTAAGTAGACATTTCTTTGTGTGTGGCTTACTTGCTGTATATTCCTTCCACAGTGACCTCCTGCCCCCCAATTACAACAAAGATCAGCTGATGGAATGGCATACTTTTCTCAACTCCTTGAACAAGCAACTCGGTGAGTAACGTTTGCAAGACCCACTCAGATCTCTCCGGAACTCTGTTCAGCAG